TTATTACAGTGTCCCTTTTCCTCTTGTGCATAATATTACATAATACAGACTCATTTTTATCACTACATGTTATTACTGCAATTTACATCTAAATGAAAAGAGCTCAGCTCCCTTGTGGCCACATCCATTCTGTAAGTCAGTTCTGAATGCTGTAGGTATTTAACACAAATTAAGAGGTTGTAAATACAGTGCTGGCAGGTTGTGAGAATGCTCTGTGACTGCCAGCAATAAATCGACTACTGGCTGCCCAAATCATCAGAGAGATTATTAAAAATAACAAAGCCTCGTGAATGTAGCTTAACTGTCAAATGCCGGGTCCGTGGCTTAAGGTACATGTTGCCTGGCAACAGTAAAGCAGGCTCAGACTAATGGCTACCATCTTTCAAATTTCTCTTCCCTGCTTACCAGTAGCCCATGCCAGACATAATAGAGATTCATGAGCTTGAACGCTGCTGATAGTTTTCTTTCACATTAAGTATGCTTAGTGTGATAGTCAGACAAAACGACAGAAATATAGAAAAGTTTAGGGATTTGACAGCATGCGTTTGTGCAGTGCAGTTATTTATGATGACTTACTTCAGTATATTCATAAGTGATTATGTGACTGTTTTTGTCATGCTCACTTTCCCACAGGAGCTTAACTTCCTCCCTGTACAATTGTCAGTTGCTTTTTTTTGAAAGAGCTGACCTATAATCTTTAAAGTATGATTAGATTTTACACAGACTAACTTAGTCTGTGTTTATAGCATTTCTGTGTGTGTGTGTGTGTGTGTGTGTGTGTGTGTTTTCAATGCTGTGCTGTCTCCAGTTATTGAGTGCACAGAAACAAGCTGCTCTTTGTTTCAGGTGCCAGGCTTAGGGTAGGCAATGTATTATTGTGTCAGTCTCTTTCTTTCTCTCTCTCTCTCTCTCTCTCTCTCTCTCTCTCTCTCTCTCTCTCTCTCTGTTATTGACTCTTTAATGTAATCTTGGATCTTTCAATGACTTGACAGACTGATGGTGTGGTGTGGTTGGAATAGCAGATGGAAGTAGCGGATAGTGGATAGTGACTGCCTAGTTACGCACATGGTTCAGGGAACATTTTCTTGGATGGCCCCCCATCTTACACCCTTTGTTCGTTTCTTTTTATTTCAGGTACTGCAAAAAGGCAATACAGCACAACCTCTGAATCACATCCTGCTACATAATAGTGCCAGTGCTGAACAGCTTTCCCCGTGTGTACTGTCTACTATTATTATTGTTATTGTTGTTGTTGTTGTTGTTGCTGTTGTTGTTGATGTTGTTGTTGTTGTTGTTTAATTATTTAAAGAATTTTTTAAAAGATTTTTTAAAAAGACAGAAAGTAAGAAAAGGAACTTTTTCAGAGCAGTCCATATCAATTCTGTTCTGGTCTGTAAAACTTCTGAAGTACAAGAAATGCATGTGCATGTGCTTTTCCAGCTTCAAGGACATTCAAGGACCGCTGTCTCATCTGTGCCGTTGCTTTACTGCTCTTTATTTTCTGAAAAAAGTCTGAATCTGTTTCAGTATAGATTTACTTGTTCGGGAATATGATTTCTTATGGTTGGATTGTTGTTGTTTTTGATGTTAATAACAATAATAATAATAATAATAATAATAGAGGTGGCACAGTGGTGTAGTGGGTAGATATTACCTAGTTCATATTTTGAAAACAGACTATTTGTTGTTGTATGGTGTAAAAACACCAGTACTGGAATACCATGTAAGTACAGACACAGCCAAATTGTTTCTGCCCTCCAGCAATATTCACGTTTGTCAAGGTGTTTTTAGCCCATCAAAAATTGCACTATTAATTTCGGCACAAAATGGACAGTGGCACAGGCATATGCAGGCTTTTCCTGCACACCAGGGGACAGAATAAATGATGAATATAATTCTAGATTGATCCTTTGTGATCACTAAATAAATGAAGATTTTTTGCTTTCATCTGAAGCTTTCTAACTTAGTCCTAACTTCCAGTCATGCCTCCAGACTCGTCTGCTGCAGAATTTTGACTGCTATGTAAATTGATGTCACTACAAATGTGAGTGCTTATAAATTCATGAGGGAGCTGTGTAATTTCCTAAAGTAAAGTACTTTATTTTCCTACAAATTTAGTTTAAAATAAGATAGAATAGAGGGGGTCACAGTGGCTTAGTGGTTAGCATGTTTGCCTCGCAGCTCTGGGGTTGGGGGGTTTGAATCCCATCCCTGCCCTGTGTGCGCAGAGTTTGCAGGTTCTCCCTGTGCTTAGGGGGTTTCCTCTGGGTACTCCAGTTTCTTCCCCCAGTCCAAAGACATGTGTTGTAGGCTGACTGGCATTTCCAAATTGTCTGTAGTGTGTGAATGTGTGTGCAATTGTGCCCTGCGATGGGTTGGCACCCTGTCCAGGGTGTCCCCTGCCCTGTGCCCCAAGTTCCCTGGGATAGGCTCCAGGCTCCCCACAACCCTGTGTAGGATAAGCGGTACAGAAAATGGATGGATGAATGGAAGATAGAATAGAACATATTCTAACTTCTTCACTAAAGCTGAGTGAAGACCTCAACAGCACTGAGATATCAGGTAGTGAGCAATCTACTGACAGCAACAAGAGGACATAGTACGAGGGATTTCTATCCACACAGGCCACTCAGGTCCTTGTTCAGTCCCTTGTCATTTTGAGACTGGACTACTGCAACTCGCTCCCTGCAGGTCTGCCTCTGAATGCCATTCGACCTGCAACTGATCAAGTCCACATCAAAACTCTTCTCTGTTTTGGCACCTAAATGGTAGAATGAAATTCCCCTAGAGTCACTGGCAGTCTTCAAACGACGACTAAAGACCTACCTCTTCCTGAAGTACTTAAATTAGCACTTTAATGGCACTTTAACTCAAAATAAATAAATTAATTTATTAATTCGTTAAAAAATGTGTTGTTTGAGTGCTTTTGTTACTATATTACCTCACCAAAAGAGTTTTTAGGCTCATGGTATTCTTAGTCTGTGAACTAGTGAACCAGTATCAGGATGTATTTATTGATAGAGACCTCAAATCACTTCTGTAAGTCGCTCTGGATAAGGGAATCTGCCAAATGCCATAAATGTAATTGTAAATGAATAGAGCAGGAGAAAATGGAGACAGAGCCAGCTGGCATACCACACAAAAAGAGTGACTCAAAGATGAAGTATTGACTGACGGAAAGAGAAGTGATACAGGAGGCAATACAGGGCCTCTAATTCACGAAGGTAATAAATAACCATGGGAGACACCAGAGCAACATTGAGTCTACAAGATAAAACAGTAGGTAAAGATGGATCAGTGGTTTCAGTTTGCTTTGGTTTTAGGGTACAAACTCTCTGACTTCAGGTGAAGCAAGAAAATTGAGAGGCCTGGCCCAGACATTAGTCTTTTTATCTCTAGGGCTTTAGTTCTTATTTGTTTCATTGTTCAGCTTGTTGTATCAGTAAATATCTCAAGTCTGAATTAGTCACTGTTGTTTAGATATGTAGTGGACCATAAAGCATAAACTACTTTCAACTAAAAAGCTTATCCACTGATATCATATATAATTGAATTAACTACACTGATTACACATAGCACTTCATCAAAATAATAATGGGTTCACATCATTCACAGTCACTTCAAAAGACATTATAAGCTGTATGTGGAATGTATTTAAGAATGGGAAAGTAAACTCTGCCTTGTTTCTGCTGTAGATAAGACTTGTAAAGCTGCTTATCCTCCTCATACTCTGCCCCACGCTGGTCTGTTCTTATCTGACCTAATGAACACTAGCACACACAGTTCCAACCAAAACTACATATAGACACATGATGAATAAATAAATACAAAAAACAACAACAACAACCAAATAACCAACCAACCAACCAAACAAACAAACAAACAAACAACAAAAATAATTGCTCCATTATGCTGTGGGGGCATTTGGCAGGCATGGTTTGGGTCCACTAATCCCCTTAGAGTGTAAGAAACTACAAGTACAAGGTTATTCAGACTGATCACCTTTATCCTGTGATGAAACATTTCTATCTTAATGGGAGTGGTCTCTTCCAGGATGACAATGTCATCATCTACAAGATACGAGGGACCACTGCATGATTTAATGAGTATGAAAATGATGTTACGGCCTACGGCCTTCGCATCTCAAGCCACAATAATGAGAACACCAACTGAGAGAATATCTTTTGGAAGAATGGTGGTTCATGGTTCCTGTACAGTTTCAGAGACTTGTAGAATTTTTGTCAAGGCGCATTGTCGGCTTTCTGTCCGTCAGCTGGTTTGTCAGCTTGTGGCCTACCACCTTACTAATACACTTTCATTTCTATACTTTCTACTGCCTCAATACTGAAATGCAAAATGCATTTACTTACATTTTTCCAATAATGATAGATCATTTGCTGAGTCTCTACCTTGAAGTTGCCTTGTATGACTTCACTTTTATCTTAGTTTATAAAATATAGCTGAATAAGAATGCTGAGTCAGTTATACCACCATAATGTTGTCCTGTAGTCACTTTTCTTGTTACTTTATTACTGTTCTGTGGTGTTTGACACATTACTAAAGTCTATTACAAAACAAAAGCCTCTATCTGACTGAACATTTTGTCTCAAAAAGTTTTTTTCAAGTAGCCACTCTGAAAAGCCATTCTCTTGCCATGCTGTTATCTCAAGGCTGTGTCTGCAGCATGCCACAACACTCACAGTTTCACAACAGGAGCCTTGAGAAGATAAAGCCCTGGATAATTCAGTGCTGTCCAAGCTGACATTTCTGTGAAATGTGCATTCAACTGCATCAGCACATAGACAATGTGTATGTTTTCCAATTTCTGTTAGAACAGGAAGCAAAAATACACTGAGATGCACTTTGGGTAACAGTTTTCACTGTTGAATGAGAACAGGAGAATTGACAAATATTTAATAGAATGTTTGTCAGAGTGTAGAATACAGTGTAGAATAGAAAGAGACAGAAAAAGCAGAAAAGAGTTGCATAGCTACAGATGGTCCCTGGTGGTCTAGCGGCTAAGGATCCTGCGCTCTCACTGCCGTGGCCTGGGCTCAATTCCCAGGCAGGGAACCATCCCAGCCACTGGGAGTGTACTCTCACTGCCAGTCCCAAGCCTGGATAAAACAGGAGGGATGCATCATGGGGGGCCTCTGGTGTAAAAACCTGTGCCAAATCAAACATGTGGACCAGTGGTCTGCTGGGGTGACCCCTAACAGGAGCAGCCAAACGACTTGCATAGCTACAGATGATCACACTTTTCATAACCTATGTTTTACAGTTTGTGATAAACACAAAATATCTCTTTGAATTTCAGAAAGTGCCACTAATCACTGACGCCTTAAAAACAAAACAAAAACACAGTAAAAGGAAACCTGTATACTGAACATTCTAGATGCCTATGGGTTAATTCCACATTGGTTTATCATAATATAATCAGCTGACCTGGTTATCCTTAAATGTGTGTTGTTGCAGTGTGTTGTTGAAGATATTATTTATTGTTCAATCATGTGAACCAAGTAAACTGAAAGGTGTAGGGAGTTGGGCATTCAGTACTGAACTGCCAAAGTTTCATTCATTCATTCATCCATCCATCCATCTATCCATTAATTCATTCATCTTCAGTAACCGTTTTATCTTGGTCAGGATGGTGGGGAATCCAAATACTATCCCTGGAAAACAGGGTGTCAGGTGGGAATATACTCTTGATGGGATGCAAGTCCACAGCAGAGTGCCATGTACGCACACATTCACTCCTTGGAACAATTTAGAGTAGAACCTCTCTAGAGATACCAGAGAAACGCCACAGGGACACTGGGAGAACATGTGTGACTCCACACAAACAGCAACCCGAGCTCAGGAAAGAACTGAGGACCGTGTGAGGTGGCAACGCTACTGTACCACCCGGTCCCTAACGTTCTCCTCTCTAACACACCTACTCAACATGGCTACTCAATTCAGTTAAAATGCTGAGTTATTAAGTAAAAATGTTGAGAATTGTGTGTTTGAGTGGGGATACCACCAAATCAAAACATTGAATGATAATGTTGGAGGACCCAAACATTTCAAAGAGAAAGGAAAATGAAAAGTAATGTCATTGTTATATTGATATAAAATGATTTCGGTAGGTCTGTGAGATAATTAAGCTGTACAGTACATTCATCCTCCAAAACAGGGACTGCTCATCACTAGAGCCCAAACCACGCCCCTAGGCCCTGTATTGCCATGGCGACCGCAGCATACGTCATCGGAGTAGCAGCTATAAAACTTAAAGGCGTTTGTGCCGGTGCTGTGCAGCGGAGCGAGTTTAAAGTGTGTCACTTTGTTTTCATTGAGCAAGAACAAGTCGTGGGAGCTCAGCTAGGCAGCGGAGAACTACACAAAGAACTTGAAGAAAGTTGGAACTTCAGCAAAGATGGGACGCGGAGTGAGTAAAACTAGACAAGCGGTTCTAAACGTGTTAGGTGGGAACTAGCCAAAATATGTTACATACATCCAGCCATGAGGTAGCATCTTAATACACTGCTGTTAATGAGAACAATACACATTGTACAGGTACAGCTAGTGGTGCATGCATCTGCAATTGTTCATTTCATTCAAACTCTTCATTAAACATCATGGTAGATATTATGTGGAAAAACTCTGACATAGTGTGTGATATTGACTGACTATGTAAACATGACTGTCATTTCCAACAGCCATAGAGGAAATACTTGCCCAAGGTAGAAGGTGTTTCTGGAGAATCTGAAATGATACTACAGTATGTTCATGTGATATCTATATTTATGCAATATATAGGCCTGTGCTGAACATATCCCGAGACAACAAATGCAAACAAAAAGCATTCTCAAAGCCATCCTCCTGTGTGGAGAACTCCTATCCTATATACCAAGTGCCAGAATCTTTGTTTACTATGTTCTAAACTAAACTATTAAAGCGTTATATAGTGATATAAGGAGGTAAAAAGTAAAACACCTGTTTACATGTGGTCTTGTAAAACTGCAAGCAAAAAATAGTTTGATTATTATCATCTGTAAACTGTGTTAATTATGAACTATTTTATGATGTTCACCAAAAACAGTTTATAAACTAACTTATTCCTTGGCATGTAGAATCATCTTATTTTCTTTCTGAAGTATCACTTATGTAAAATTGGGAAAAGGGAAAATGTTTTTCAAGAAACATATTTTCCCTTAAGTTACCGAATAGGGCTCTTATACGCAATATAATGCAGGTGCGTGCTTCAGCGGACTGGACTAGGCTGGCTAAATTCACAAAAAAGAAAAAACTTTTCTTCAATACTTATATTTTTTTCTTCACAATGGAGAGATCTGTTATGAAGAAGCCAAACATGTAAACAGTGTGATTTTCGTGTGTCTTTTTGACACAGTAGGTGAAACCTATTTTAGGGTTTACTCTTAAAATCATATGTATTAATATGTATTAATAATATTAATGTATGGGTTAAAGTTTTATTTGGGTGGCGACAGGTGGGAAGGATTTCACTCCATTGTAATTTGATGAAAAATCATCAAAGATAAAAATAGGATTTAGACTAACAAGCCAAAAAATGTTTTGTTATATAATCTAGTAGTCCATTCAAATGCCTGCCTGAAATGGTCTTATCATCCATGGCAACTGAACAACCCCTCACTGTGAGAGGACTGATGCTTGAGTGCTCAAATAACTTCCATCCTGCTTTGGATGCACAGCAGCTCCTTTTTTCACTCCCTGAGGCACTCTTTTGGCCATTGTCTAATAGTGGTGTGTGATCCCTATCACAAAGCTTACAGTGTCACAAGTTGTTGTTGCTGTTGTCGCTCCACTCCACTGTCGCTCCACTGGGACATATTGTACTCAGTGTGTTATGGTTGAATGAATTATCTACCTCAGTGCAACAGAGTGGAACATGCCATGCTGACTGAAATGTCCTAAACCATTGAGAAGACATGCTTGATAAAAATTATACCACCACACAGTGGGCTGGGAACAAGATAATTATATGCAACACAAAACCAGTCATTATTTTTACTTCCTAGTGAGAATGATCAAATCCTCTGGAATGTTGTTAGGATTGATAAAGAAGGTCTACTAATTGTACTTCTGATCCTTTCAGCAAAGCACCATGGGTGTTCTGGGATTGGTGGTGACTTCATTTATAGATTATAGATTATTATGTACAGATAACATAATACATATGTCATGTATTATGTAGTCTATGCTATTCGTTGCCCCAGATTCTTTACCTAATTGCTGCTTTTCAGCAATATGTGCAATCTGACTATAGGGCAATTTTAAAGTGGTGTAATTCAGTGTCTCTACATGTGACGCACAAAAATATAAACATCCTCACTAACGCAACGCTTCAACTGTGGACAGTGGTTGAACAGTCATTTGAATAAAACATGAGTGATAAAGGCCATCAAAAGGTCTTTATCCACTGTGAAACTCCCAGTTTCAGGTATCCAGAGAGTAATTAGTGGTGATTAAGTATTAACATACACTGATGTTCTTTTTTGAAATATGTAACTGAGAGGCTAATCAAAAGAAAGGTGACTTTTATGTCCCGACATGCCTTCTTTCCATTGCTGCATTCTTTCCAGTGCAGTCATTTGTTCCACTTAGAGTGACACCAGTTCAGCATAATAGCTGCACATGTGCATAGCTGCGATGGTCATTTTACTACGAAACAAATGTTATTATAGAGCACTGTATTGCTCTTTGACTTGTTATACAGGGTTAATGTTGAGAAAGTAAATTCCTAATAACAAGATCATTTCAGATTGTTATTTATTAGAATATTCAAGTGGTCATGTAAACAGCATTATACACTGTACTGACCAATTTTCCAATTTTACTGACATACTGTGAAGTGGAAACGTATGTGATGTTGACTGTCACAGATCATACACATGAACACAGGACACAGCTTGTCACAAAGTATTCACAACTTGGCATCAGAAGCTTGCAGAAAGTCTCTCAGGTACTGTGAAGATGTTAGTATCAGATCAGTATCAGCTATTGGCTGATGGAGCTCTGATATTGGTATTGGAATGAAAATGGGGAAAAATGTGACTGGTGCCTCAGTAGTTCTTCTTATCTAATAATATAGTGTCTGCATGAGAATTACATTAGTTTAGGTATAAGTTACTGTGTTTTGTGTTCACCTTTTACATAAACCAGTTTCTTTGTGTCAATCTACTGTAGTTTGTATTTTTGCAGAACCAGATTTAATTTAATAAACAAAAACTTAAGTAATTAGTAAAAATTCTCCGGCTGACAAATCTGTCTTAAAAATGTTTTGCCAGTCATTCGGCTTCAGCGGTTTTATTAGTTCCAGCAGAAGTCATGAAGCCCCTTAAATGAGTAGTGAAATATATTTAAGTTTGTAAGACAAATCCAGATAGACATTAAAAATTATCCAGATGACTGAATACTATATATTTAGCACTGTGTAGGTCAATCTGTTTAGTTTACAATGACAATAGTCATTATAACGTCTTTGACGTTACCAGCTGCTACATAATAATACACTTTCCCTAGCATACCCGTACCTAGCTTCTGGTTTTTACAGTTTACTTCTATTCTGTTTGCATCATTAATATTTTGTACAACCATAATGCAGTTTTTATAAAGTAGCGCCAGTAATTATTCTATTATTAATAGGCCTATGTGTATTGCATATATTATGTTTATTGTCTGGTAACATATGTTAATACAACTTCAAATTATGTTTGTGATAATACATGTTTTCCATGAAGGTACATTTCGTGATTTGGGCTGTTTTTTTTTTTTTTTTTTTTTTTTTTAATTGAATCTGTTTTGTTCAAAAAACTTTGACCATGACCAATTTCATTTCTAATCACTATGCCACATACTGCCTTACTCTGTAATCTTTTGAGATTATAGCAACCTTTTTCTGCAATTTATTTCATTTAGAGTCAAGTAATGTTGGTCATAATATGATCATTTTAAAAACTAGTTCAAAATAAGGATCTTCCAAAATAAATCTTTGCGTGGTCTGCACCGTCACAGGGAGGAGGACGAGATCAATATGACCTGGCAGCAACGTC